AGTGATTTAATTGTCAAAAAGTTAAGGGTTACATTGTGATATAGTCTATGTAAGGAATTCCTCTTATAATTATTCTTGCTTTAAATATAATAATAGAGAAAATTGTAATGCAAAGAAAACAAAATATGCTACCATATATCTTGGAAACATCAAAATAAAAAGAAACCTCAACATTATCGTAATATCAAGCCATGAGCTAATTTGTAAAGGACACTTATGGCAAGAAGTCAAACAAAAGGCAAAAACAGAATCATAGTCTGTAAACACTAGTGTGTAAAGACCAGATGCTGGAAACAATATTATTCAAATGTTTCGCCTATGAGATGTTCTTAAAATTCATTTCCTAATAAGAGAAATTTAGGAAGAAAAATCCTTTGCCCTGACATTTTTCAAATATCTTCAGGATATGCTCTATTTCATTTCAACAGCTCAAACTTTCAAAACAAATGCAGTAGGTTCTATTTACATGCAGCACACACATGTATACATGTATACTTTTACGCAGTATGACTTTTAAGACATTAAAACTTCAAAATATCTGCTCTGCATTCTTTGCTTCTTTTGTGTCCAAACTTGACATCTTACACTGACTGAATATTACCATTAGGATGTTTCCTAGATATTTTCAATTTTCAAACATTGACAAAATGATGAATCCTGGATCATACCATGCTTTCACAAGGTTTATATGTGGTATAAATAATATTCTTGTTTCAGAAAAGAAGATATAAATTATTTTAAAACTCTTCCAGAATTAGAAAAAAATCAGTGGTGATGTTCCCTAATATACTCTATGTATAAGATGTTCTGTTAATACCAAAATCATGTGAAGTTGCAATATGAAAGAAACATTTACAGCAATATCTCTTATCCATATAGGTAAAAAATATTCAACAAAATATTATCAAATTAAATCCAGTACTATATGAAAGCAATGATATTATGTGCACTAAGATGATTAGACTGATAGTTTCAAGGGTGCCTTAACATTCTAAAACCAATCATTGTATTCTACCATAAAAGATCAAAGCCCGTTATCCACCATTTCTCTCCTTATTCTCCTAGTCAGGATTTCCTAAACCAACACGAGAGAGACAAGAAGTAGGCAAGATAGCAGGTGTTGCTGCATGGACAGAAATCCCATCGTAATACAGTCAAGGCCTCAGCCCA